ACAGTCGCTCGTCAAATTGCGTGCAGCACGATCGGCCGCGGGTGCCAACTTCGTCCTCATGTTGTGTTACCACGTTTTCGTGTGAAGACCCCGACGGCTGATGCCCATCAACGAGAACACATTCAGCATGGTCTGTCTGTTCCCGTTGCCTGCATGGCATGCGCAGCCAAAACGTTCACAGCAAAAGGTTTCATACGTTCATCGCTATGTACGCGCGACGAGCTCCACAATGACGCAGTCTCCCCACAGGTCGAACACATAAAACGCAACTTCAAGGCGAGTTCAAATTCCCGGTCGTTGCGGACAATCTGCAGTTCTCCGTTGCATGCCTTGCACTTTGCGAATGCCAACAAAGCGCTGTTCACTGCGTCCAAATCTATAATTGTGAACATGGTTCTATCAGGCAGCTGAGCTGCTTCGTCAGCACCGTCAACCACGAATGCACGTTTCCGCTCCGTCACTGCAGCGGACAACTTCGATAACTTATCTTCGGCTCTAGCTCACTCCTCTTCCAAGTCAAATTGATGCCGATAGATATTATCTAGACGCACACGACTGCTGCTCGAAGGCAACACGGCTGACGGACTTAGCACAGGCTCCGTGACAACTGATGCAGTAGATAGGCCTTCCGTGGTAGCGTCGACAACTTAGCCATGGGCCGATGGTGTAGAGTCTCGGTTGGTTTTGCTGTATCACGGAGCGCTTCTTGAAATTCACGACTAGTGTCCTTCGCACCTTTTTCGCACCAAACTTGTGCCGCGTGCAGAATTTGCGCTCAGGATTTGACATCATAAAACTTCTCCGCTGACACTGAGGCAAAATGGCGCGCATGGACGCACGCCTCAATACCCGGAGCAGACAAAGCCAGGAGCCTCCACCAATAGGGAGGCAAGCTCAAGTCACGTGCGCGAAGTAGCAAATAGGAAGGCGCTCTGACACTTCTCTTTGCCACTCATTTTACAAGCTACCAATGGGTGAATGGGACCCATTCTGGCGGGAATTCAAAGGCGAAAGACAGCTCTCTCAAATGAGACCAAGCGGGCTGTACTGGCACACATGAAAAGGCAGGGACGCGTCACGGAAAGTGCGATTTCAACGTCGATTTCGGCTCAGAACTAGCTAGAAAGCGCCGTATAAAGGGTCTTAGCGGCTAAAATAATGGTATTATAGGCATGAAATCAACGGTATAAGTGCACTAATAGCTGTAGATCTCAAAAACGCAATTTAAAAAAAAAAAACTTGTATTTGCGCGATTTTTCGGTCTCCACAAGCCGTGCCCCCCCTTAACTGCAAGTACAACAAAACATTCAACCCACCTATATCGGGCAGAGTGAACATGAGCACTGCTATTTCAATAAAAGTATTGTGAATTCCACCCCTGAGCAAACAATCAAGTCCAGATTAACGTTCAATGCATCTGTCGAATTCTTTGACACTCTGCAAATTCAAATTTGACTCTACCAAGCTGGCAGCCTTAATATTAGGGAGATACGTAAAACCGAGAAATAGGGGTGGCGAAGAAAAAAAAAAACTCACGCACAAGTTATTTTTTTCCTTCTTTTAGGGCAGCAGAAATTTCCTTCGCTGCTCCAAATGATTGCCAGTTATTGTTTTAGACTTCAGCGATCATACCAGTATTCAAAATTATGCAGCACATACATGCACCATACTTTGTTTCACACATCACTTGCAACGTTGCAGAAGCTAGCGAGACTTCTTGCAGTCGATGCTATGGCAACAAAAAGTAGTTCGATATTCTTGCTACCAAAATTTAATTTTTGCTTTGTTATTACAGTAAGAAGTAAATGAAGATATGTGTCTTACAAACAAAAATGCCGTTTAACATCTGTTTTATGGGACTGTATAGCTCAGTTTTCCTGAGACGTCACTCTGGGTACGTCAGGATGGCAGCCACTTGGACTTTCAGTGTCAGTGCAGGAGAGGACACTACAGGGTCGTTTGGTACCTGCGTTCTTTTGTGCTCACCCTGCCACGCCAAGGGGGAGCACAAAGAAACACCAGAGTGAACCGGCACTAATGGGATGTCACGCGAGCGACCGTGAATTTAGAAGTGTTGCACGTTTTAGTGGCTGAACTTCTTGCGTAGCTTTAACAGAGTTGCACCTGATGTATGAAACAGAGTTCAGTCATTAAAAAAAAGAAAAATGTCCTGTCCCCCTGAGAAGCACTACAGCCCCTTCCAAATCATAATACACTCTTCTGCGGGACACCGACCTACTGCGGCAAAGGTGGCTTAGGCAGCAATCTGCACGGTTTAGAACAAGGCCAATCAAATTTCAAACCACTACACCCACCCTCAATTTTTCATTTTTTTTCTCCGGTGGGGGTTAGGATTAGGGCACAACTCTGCTTGCTTGCAAGGTGTGTTCAACCAAATAAAGTGGCAACAGTGCGCGCCCTTTGACCCAGCGACTGATATCCCTATCTCTATCGCCAGGACGACACTACCTTCGAGCCAGACAAACTATTTACAGTCGAACCTCGACATATCGAACGGCGCGGCGATCGCAAAATAGTTCGATATACCCAGAATTCGCTATAAAAAATCACGAAAAAAATGCGTCAACAGCTTGCTGAAAACGACCAACGAACCGTTCAAGCGTGGTGCAGTAAATACTCACTTGAAGATTCAAACATAGCATTTATTGTGCGTGTGCAAAAAATATTGAAAAAGAGTAGCCTGCTTTTTGTTGGCCATGGCGTGTTTGACGACTGCGTCCTCAATATAGTCCAGGCGATCCATAAGTGATAGGCCGGTGCCTTCAATCGCGCCGCAGTGACGGCCCACAAGGGCCAAGGCCGCTACGACCTCAGCTGATGTCGAGAGTGGGGCACCATCAGCGCTTGCGGGATCCACCTCGGCAGAGTCTTCATTTGGCTGCTCAGCAGTAGCTTCGGCGACAATCTGCACATCCGTGAGCTCCACCGTTCGGAACAGTGCGCGACAGGCCTAACCCTGAACGCACGAACACTGCGAGCACAACGACCGATGCCTGCCGATGCTACGGGGGAGGAGCTTGCAACAAGTGCGCAGTGTGCCGTTGACACCATAGAGACTGCAACAACTGCAAGCTGGTGGTAGTGGTTAGAAGATGAGAAAAGGCACCTAATTTCTGCAACCCGGTCGGGAGCACGGCGCAGTGCGGACTGCAAGCTGCAAGGCTGCGACGCGAGTCCGGGCGTAAAGCGCGCACATGGTGCGCCCATGCCGGCTCGCCTGACTGCTTTCCCCTTCCCGGCGGCAGCGCGGGCCGCGTCCGAGACAGTCGTCTGCGTCCATTCTCTCCAATACTTTCCTCCTCAATCTTTACTTCCCACTCCCCCTTCCACCGCGCGAAGCCGTGTCGGTGCCTTCGTATTGAAAGAAAATAACAGCTTTGCGCTTTTCTCTTCACTTTCCTCATTCAAGAACCTCTACCGCAAGGCTGCGGCGCGCGTACGCCGCTACGTTAAAGTGGCGCTCTCGGCGCCATCGATGTGTGCAGCATTTGTAAACGCCCGCCGCTCTACCGCTACTTTCAAGAGTTGCGGGAAAGCTCACCGCCTGTCAATGGAGCGCGGGCGGTTTGGGGTGGCTGAGTTCGATATATCCATTAAATGTCAAACTTTGTTCGAAACAAAAAATCAATAATGCATGCTATTTCCCGCATGATGTAGGAACCGTTCGATATAGGCAATAATTCGATATATCCGTGTTCGATATATTGAGGTTTGACTGTATGTGTTGCTGCTGTGGCACCAATGTGATGGCTAACAACACCATTAGCCGCATGTCAACCTTGTTCATGCGTGGGAAATGCAGCATACGTTCTTGACATGCCATAACCACATTTGCTGACTAGGAAATTTACATTTCCCGTGAAGCATTGATGGCTATAGTAACGCTTTTTTTTTTTTTTTGCTTGAAGTATCGACTCCGCCGATAGGTATTCACTGTGGTAAACCTACCAACGGCCGTGCGGCACTGTTACTTCATCTTATAATATATCTGGTTGACCGCGTCTCGCAAGTGTCCTCACCTAACTAGTATATAACTTACGCCGTGGTTTAGGGTCTGCGCACTTGGTTTGAAAGTGCAAGTGGCCAATGAGGCCTGCATTTCTCACTGAAAGTCACTGAACCGAGAATATTTTAAGGCTGGTCGGGCATTTTGGCACAGCATGGCGCAATTACACGGTTTTGGCGCACCTCGGCGCAACAATAGGGAATTGTATCAAATTGACGCAGCTGTTGCACCCGACACTGAGAACTAATAGTTTTTATGAAAAAATACCTACTCGAAAAAGAAAACCCAAGACGTGCATATGCCCTACATGTTCACAACAGATTGGTAAGTGGAAGGCATTGAAACTGTTTCAGAACTTTTGAGGCAATCTGATCAGTGAAGTGGAATGAACAAAATATATGACATTATTAGGGACAGACCCTTGGAAACATTCCGTGTTCCCTAAGGTGTTCAATACATTATTTTTAGGGTGGTTTTGTCGGTATTAAATGGATACATCGTAAAATGCAGGTTGCCGGAAGCGCAGAAAAACAACATGTAATCATGGTTTCTCCATGTTTTGCTCCATTCACCAAGTCTACATAAAGCTTTTCTTGGCTGATCTCAGGATGACAAAGTGTGTTCAACCAGTCCAACCTGAGCACAAGTGTTACATTCCGAAAGCTGTGGGCCAACAAAACTTGTTGCACCAAGACTAGAGCAGCCATGAAGTTTTGCGCACACGTAGCGCGGTAAGGTACTTGAATAGCCTGTCTTTCAAGGAATGCCACACTCGAGTACTCCTGAAAACATTAAAGTTCAGGAGTCATGCTGAAATCGAGCTTTACATTTCTTGCAGACTGTACGCTTTTTACATTCAGAACCTATAAAAAAAGTTATGTTGCTATCTAGGAAAGTCTCTTCATGAAAAATTCGGCTCTCAATGACATTTCATAGCAACACAGATGCTGCAACCAAACAGCAACCTCCTCACCTTCCAAAATCGAATCTTGTCTCAGTGCCACCAGTGGAGACACGCTCCTCTCGATTTCGCCTGTTTTTGCGCTCCTCAAAGTCTTGTTGATTCTCTCGACCACCAGCGCCGCCACTGGGTGGGGCAAACTTCACTGCTCGATCAGCTGGCCTCGTCGTCCTCTGCAGTTTGTTGTCTGCACAGAAGAAAGCACCCTGGCCTTTCAGTCTAGTTTTTTTTTCCCCAAATCATGTAGTATAAAATGCAATCACATGACGACATCATTTCTTTCGCTTTTCCAAATCATGTTGTATAAAATGCAACTGCAAGATCACATCAATTCGATCTTGAACCGGGAACCACAGAAATGCGAGAACAGCGTAATTGAAAAAGACTGGCAAGACCTTACACAGTGAAACCCCGCTGTTACGTTCCTCGTTCCTCGCTACTGCGTTTTTCCGGCTGTTACGTTGTCATCCATCGGTCCCGATATAGCTCTCATAGAATATCGTGTGTTGTGAACCCCGCTGTTATGTTCAAACTGTGAGAACGTTCCTGCATGATGTGTCGCAACCTAGTCAGTCGAACCCGCCTGGGCACCGTCATTTTGATTTAATGTTTGGCAGTCTTGGCCTGGCTTGGCTATGGAACAGGCTGCAAGAAGCCACAGGTGAGTTGAAGAGGCCGCCCCTAGATGGCCATTTGTGAAAAGTGCTACCACCATCATCCCTGTACTTACAAAGGAAGTTTCCCTACCTGCCAACAGAGAACTTTGCAAAACCCCCGAGAGGGGGGGGGGGGGGGCACCAAATTTTTTTTATTTGTGCCTGCGATGGAATGGAATTTATTTACACATAGTGTTGCCCTGTCGGCCGTTACAAGGTGGGTCAAAAGTAGTACTATGCAAAACATACATTTCATAATAAATAACAAAAGGCACTTCAAAGAATAAAGAAAAAATACATTGGTAACAATAAAACAAACGTTGGCATACACAAGAAAATAGTTCGTTGATAGGTTGACAAAATTTTGCTACAACATGCACACGAAGTCTACCAGCAGTGGTGCAAACCATAACCGAGCACTATGTACAAGGATACACAACTGCACATGAGAAGAATGTTCCATACATACATGACACAAAAATATAGACAGAATAGTTAAGAATAATTTCAGAGGCATCCAAGATAGAACATGAGTACAAGCGTATAATTCCTTAATTTCGTGTAAGGTAATTCTGGAATTCATCTGCACTGGCACTTTCTCGTGTTTGTGGCGGCAATTCATTTTATTCTGTTATGGTTCCTGGGAAAAAAGAAAACACATAGCTGTTCATGTACATTTGAAGTGCTTCGAAGGTACCCTCCTTCCCTCTCCACAGTACTCTACCTTCTCATGCTGTCAAGTGCTGGTAACTATTAACGTCAAATTTGATTTTAGTGAGATAGTAAAAAACTTTAGCCTTGCTATGCACCTGTGTTCAGCAAGCATGGGCAAGTTGAGCGAATTGAGCATTTCGGAGACAGAATCTGCACGAGAATATTTTGATAGGATGAAGCTTGCGGCTCGACGTTGAACTCTTTCCAGTCTCTCAATTAAACCAGACTGATAAGGGTCCCAGACCATGCTGGCATACTCCAGCCTGGGACGTACATAGGTCAAATAAGCAGCTTGCTTAACTGACAGACAATGCTGTTTTCTTCGCAAGAACCAGTTTTTTTCCGCAGTTTCACCTACTGTTGCGACATGATAGGACCAGCGTAAATTCTTAGAAATGTTTACGCCTAAGTATTTCAGCACATCAATCGTAGAAGTACCGATGAATTCACGGCGTAATTGAAGTCAAGGACATGATTCACTTTATTAGTTCTGTGCAATAGTTTTATTCTCACTTATTTTCATTTTCTATTTGTCACACCATTTTCCTACAGCCCTCAGAGCATCACTGAGTAATTGTTGTTCTTCCGGGCTACTAATTTCTTTGTACAAAAGACAATCATCAGCAAAAAGTCGCAGTGATTCTTTCGTCTATTTCAGAGGCAATATCATTATATAAACTAAAAATAGCACCGGGACTAACATAGAACCCTGTGGAACACAAGTCGCACAGTGATTCGTCTATTTCAGAGGCAATATTTGTTTATTAATACTGCAACCCTCACTTGAGGGTCATTACAGGGAGGAATATAAACACAAAACAAAAGCAATACACAATGACAAAACAGACATTACGTTTCATGTTGCCGGTAGTACAATTCTAGCGAACACTCAAACGCTTTGACATTTGCGCTAGTCTATTCCACACTTCTATACTATACGGAAAAAAAGAATTTTTAAAGCCATCCAGACGCGCCCAAAAAGGCCTTATTGGGTGACTATGGTTCAACCGAGCTCCTCGTTTGGGTGCAGATTGTATGTATGTGTCTTTATTTTCATTACGCCTCTTATAATTTGAAACAGGAGTTTTAACCTTTGCTTTTCCCGGCGCACTTGCATGGGTTCTAGCGCACATGATTTTAACAAATTTGTGACGGATTCTGTCCTCCGGTACTGCGAGCAAATGAAGCGCACTGCTAGCCTTTGAATTTTTTCTATTTTATCTCTCAGTGACTGCTGATGACTCCATACAGAAGATGCATACTCCAAAATAGGGCGAACAAATGTCTTATATGAAAGTAATTTGACATCTCTAGGGGCATGTTCGAGTTTTTTCCTCAAGTAAAACAACTTCCTGTAGAGCTTTGAACAAACCTCAACACGAGTGTGCCACCCCAAATCGCTGGTAATAGTCACCCCCAGGTATTTAAAGCTGTGTGTTCTGGTCAGAAGGCTATTTCCGATTTTATAATCATATGCAAGTACGGATTTTTTCTTGGTTATATGGGTGAACGTAGTCTTTGAAAAGTTAATTTCCATCCCCCACTGGGCGCACCATTTATGCAAGGCTTGCAGACAGCGATTAATTTTGATTTGGTCGTTTGCGTTAGGTACAGCAGCGTAAATTAAACAATCGTCTGCAAAAAGTTTGATTTCAACCGGGCTTTCGACAACTGCGGAAATATCATTTATAAAAATTAAAAACAACAAAGGACCCAGCACTGACCCCTGTGGGACACCAGACAGTACTTCCAATGAACTAGATGAGCAATCATCTACATGTACTTTTTGTTGACGGTTCTCCAAATACGCGGCTATCCAATTTAGTATATCTGAGCTAAGTCCTAGTTGCTGAAGCTTAAAAATTGATTTGTTATGAGGAACTTTATCAAAATATCATTATATAAACTAAAGATAGCACCGGGACTAACATAGAACCCTGTGAAACACCTGACGTCACGTTCAATGGTTTTGATTTAACATGTTCTGCCCTGAAGGTACGCAGATATCTATTTCACTATTTTCACATTTAGTCCCATAACTCTTACCTTCACGAGCAATTCTGCATGTAGCACTCTATCGAATGCTTTCGACAGATCAAGACATATCGCATCTGTTTCTTTTCGTCTGAGTTCAAGACAGTCATTATTTACCTGTTTCAAGAAGCTGTGTTGTGGAATGGCGCTGTCTGAATCCATGTTGGTTGGGCAAAAATTTGTTGGCATTTTCGAAGCACACGTAGATTGACTTGGATACAATGTGCTTCAGGAGCTTGCAGCAACGCAGGTCAGCGATATTGGACGATAGTTTTCAATTACCCGCTTATCACCAGATTTATGCACAGGTATAACTTTAGCCTTAAGCAAGTCATCAGGGATTCGGCATTCTGTGAGTGACGTTAAGTAATGAGCAACCCGTTCCGCGTACCTGTGGAGAAATTTGCGATGTCATCAGGGCCTACAAATTTTTTTTTATGTTCATATGCAGTAGCAGGGCTACAATTCCCTCGCATGAAACTTCAACATTTGGCATTCTTTCCGAGTGAGACAATGGAGACAAAGTGAATTCCTCATTAGACTGATGGGAGTTGTGACTGAAAGAATTCGTAAGAAGCAATCTTTGCAGGGTCAGTAAACAGAATGTTATCCACTATAATGAGTGACTCGTCATTCTTTTTTGACCTGTGACGCCAAAATTTATTAGGAGACATCATGAACTCTGTCAATGTTTCCTTGTAATATCTGTTTTTGGCTTGAGTAATCATAGAGCGCAGTTGCGCTCTATGATTTTCGCGTGATCTTTAGTTACTTTCTGTATCTGGCGGCTAATTCGGCATTTCAGTTGGATTATTTCCCTGTTTATCCAGAGGTTCCGTTAAGCTTTTGTTCTTTTCCTAAGCGGTACAAAATTTTTTATACAATGGAAAACAGCGCCCTTAAATGATTCTCGTATGGCATTGATGTCAACTTGAGAATCAAAACTATCTAGAGCAAATGACAAGTCAATTATACTTCCGTTGTCAGCCTTATAAAAGTTTGGAACATTCGTAATGGCCTCCTTCTGTGTTGACATTCTTTCGTTATAAGTTATTTGGACGAAGACTACTTCATTATCTGAGATACCCTTATCAACTGTCACTTTGAACAGCTCAAAACACCTGTCAAAGAATACAAGATCCAAAATAATGCATTTTCCCTGGACTTGCGAGTGCTTTGGCGAACAACTTGAGCAAGGTCATGGGTGAATGCAATGTCAAGGAGTAAATGCAGCGTGCCTGTTTCGGATACTGCTTTACACATTTCCCAGTTTATTGCAGGTAAATTGGAGTCGCCGGTAAGTAGGTAGTAGTCGGCAGTTGCGCTTTTTGTGTGCTTCTAGGTAGCTCTCCATCGACTCTATGAATGAGAGAGGCAAGTTTGGCGGTCGGTAAACTGTTTAGAAGACAAGGACTGCTGACGTTCCAATTTGCATTTCACACCATACGCTTTCGTGTCCTGCGATACTGTTCTGTGTTGCCCTTAGCTGCAAGCACATTAATGTTTTATTGCTGTTAGTCAAACCGACGTGTTATATTATTTTCCCCCAAAATAAAAAAACATCACGAAAAACTAGAGAGAGGAGGGTCAGAAACGCAAATATCGTTGTTACGGTCTCATAATGGCTTAAAGTGCCCGAACATACGAGGGTAGCATTTCCCACTAAGGTGAGGGTCTCATAGGGTGAGCGAAGCTCCCGAAGTTCCGAACACATGAGGGTAGCATTTCCCAATAAGGTGAGGGTCTCATAGGGTGAGCGAAGCTCCCGAAGTTTCGAGTCATC